CGCGCGAGACCATGATGATAGACACGACCATCATCATTACCCGCTTAATCGCAAGTCTAAGAATCAACACATCGAACGAGGACTGCTGCTGCAGCAGCTGCTGCTACTGCACCACCGCCGCCGCCGCCACCGCCACCGCCACCGCCACCACCAGCACCACCACCACCACCAGCACCAGCACCAGCACCAGCACCAGCACCACCACCACCACCACCACCACCACCACCACCACCACCACCACCACCACCCAGACCACGACCACTGCCACTACCACGACCACTACCACTACCACTATCCCTACTGCTACCATTGCCACTACGACGACGACTACTACTGCTGGTCGTAAGGTCATGGAGGCCAATGGCCTGACGTCGGGGCCTGAGTTCCCACTTGCTCTGTGCCTTCCTTTAGGTGCCTAAATTATTACCTATACTATTTTGGTGGGTTCCTTATTGCAAATGTAGTACAATGGGCCCCAAAACCCTAGTCTAATCATTAAGGCCCCTACATTACAGCACAGGAAGTCTGCGATTTAGGCTTTAAAACTTTTCGGGATTCATGGTCCGATCAATCGGAATGTCTTTAAGGATTTGGCCAGGTATGGTATCTTTGTCATAGTTGGGTAATATGTCATATACATTTTTTGGTGGCACTTAAACCCAATAAGGAATAACAGTGTAATTTTTTAACCCTACCTTAACCCTGAACAACCTACCTTTTTAGGGATCCTAGTTATGATTTCTTTATATAAGTCCTTAAAAAGGTAGGTTATTCCGGGTTAAGGTATCCCAACCATGATCTAGGTATCGGATGTATCGTTCTAGCTTGCAAGTTTCCTTGGTCATGGAGTTTACTTGGAGGTTCATGGGGTAAGGGTTCTTAAAGGGCTCCTTAAAGGGATCTATAGGGATCCTTCAAGGGGTCTATGGGGTTTAGGGTTTAGGGTCTACTTGGAGGACCATGGGACTTAGTAAGTAAGGTTATAAGTACCTTAATTGGGTTATAAGTAGTTACAAGTATAGCTACCTTATCTATAACCCTAGATACTAAGTCCCATGATCCTTTAAGTAGGCTTTGGTGCTGGGGGAGATCTCAAAGTGACCGGGACTGCAGGTTCGGGTCTTAGTGACCCGAAAGTGCAATCGCCAAACCTTCTAACCCCGACTCCGCTCCTTCGGATTTCTGTGGGCGGAGGATTGGCTTAGGGTTTAGGGAATTTAGGGTTGAGGGTCTGGGAGTTTAGGGTTCGTCAGTGGCATGTTGGCCTTTTGGGGTTATCCAGGTGGAGCGGAAAGCATTGACTTGGGAGATGGTGGTTTCGATGAGGGTACAACGGAGATTTGAATAATTAGGGTTAGGGTTTAGGGAGGTTTGAATAATTGATCATGATAACCGCTTACAATCCGTATATATATATATATATATGTATATATATATATATAGAAGCTTACATTGCACTATGTCATAAATCCCCCATTCTGCTCGTGTACTAGGGCAAGTAGGGTTGTGCACTTCTAGGGCCAAGCCCTGCACCCTAAACCCTGAACCTTGAAACCCTAAAACCCTAAATCCCTAAACCCTAAACCCCTAAAACCTTAAATCCTAAACCCTTAAACACTCTTTATCATACGTATTTCAACCTTAACCAGGATAGTTGCCTTTTGGGATTTTCGGGTCCGTTTTCCCAAATTGCCACTAATTTTCCCAATAGTGACCCCGAATTTTCCCAATAGTGACATCTAATTTTCCCAATAGTGGCCCCTAATTTTTCCAATAGTGGTTATCTGGGTTTGCCATTTCCCAATAGTGGCCCCTAAGTTTCCCAATAGTGGCCCCTAATTGCCACTAATTTTGCCAATAGTGGCCCTGTATGTTCCCAATAGTGGCCCCTAATTTTTACAATAGTGGCCCCTAATTTTCCCAATAGTGGCCCCTAATTTTCCCAATAGTGGCCCCTAATTTTCCCAATAGTGGCCCCTAATTTTCCCAATAGTGGCCCCTAATGTCAACAGTGGCAATCTGGGATTGCCATTTTCCCAATAGTGGCACCTAATTTTCCCAAAAGTGGCAATGTAGTGGCACATAATTTTCCCAATAGTGGCAAGCTGGGATTGTCATTTTCCCTATCATATGTACACGGTAGTGGTTGAGGAGCGTGAATGTGGTTCAAGGGTGGGTTGGGGAAGTTTCATGAAGTTGGGTATTTGCTGTCAGGGGTTTGGTAAACATGAAAACAAAAACACTTGCACGGTAGTGGTTGACATCGGCAAGGCCAACCATTTATTTTAGGGGTTAGCGACTAATACAACGCCGGTATCAACAGCTCAAACTTCGTTTAATTTAAGTTAACGATATTAATGTTGTGGTAGCGTTCGGTGGACAGTAGTTTTAAGCTGTGCATGAAATTAAAACTATGTATATTCCTAATGTTATGGGATTCTAAGGGTGGGTGGGTGTTCTTTCTAAACCATAAACACTACTTTACTGTAAAACTGCTCGATCCGGAGCTGCTGGTCTCTAAACCCTAAACCCTAATCCCGAAAACCTTACAAGAGCTGAGGGCTTCCCCATGGTTATTTGCCCTCGCCTCAGGGCCACAGGAAGCTCTAATCCCTGAAACCTACAGACTCTAAGCCTAACCTAACCCTAAGGCTCTCAGGACTGGTATTTTAAGGCTTTTGGGCCTAAAGACCATATTATATAAGGCTGTTGGGCCATTTTGAGCCTCAGAGCAAGGCTCAAGGAACCCAGAGGCCAATTGTTTAATTATCTACTCAATGAAGCATGGTGTTGGTCTTTGAGCCCTGATGGTCCAAAAAACCGTTGAGGTTCCGGAACTTCGCAGTCGTGAAACATGGGGGCCTAAATAATTACCTATACTAGTCTGGGGGTTCCTTATTCTACTTATAGTAGGATATACCCCCAAAGCCCCATTCTAATTACTAAGGCCCCCATGGTATATAAAGTCTTATAGAGAGAACGAACACCAGTGCCAGATGAACAGGAAACCTGTCGAGGCCGCTAGACTACTGCGTGGATGCGGGCTTTGCCGCCGTTGAGACGGATGGCAGCAGCCTTGTCCCCCCTCTGGTGGAGAATCCTATGGTGTCCTTAGCATAACCGACCAAAACCTACATTGTGTAGTTGGCTCTTATTGTAATCCCTATACGAAGGGTCTCCTGTGGTGTATGCGTGTACTTCAGAAGTTTTAAAGGCGGAGAGAAAAACCAAGAAGGCTCCCGAGTCCCCGGTTAAAAGCCCCTGTTGTAAACGCAGGGGCTGAGTTTAAAGCACGCTCTTAGTTTTAGGGTTCAGGGTTTAGGGTTTAGGGGTATACATATTCTCGTCCTAGCAATCAATTGACAAGACCCTTCCCCTTGAAAAAGTCCTGGCATAGTTGTGATGATGTAGAGTGCTCGGAGTAAACATGATTATGTTTAGACCCTTCTAAAACTGTAAGAAAGGTTTTATAGGGACCCTACAAAGCAGTAGGTTTTGGTAGCTTGCGATGTAGAATCCGATGGAGCCTTCTCTTCCTGTATGGAACCCTATAGAATAGCTTGGGACACCCGTTATTGAGAAACCACAGACGCAATAGCTGCTTTAGTCGACCCTCTTATTGATAGATGAAACGCAGTTTAACTGCAAGCATGTTACCTACATACATATACATATAAATACATACATACATACAAACTTACATACTACAGGTTCTTAAACAATTGCCTATTCTATTGTGGGGGTTGTTTATTATAACACATTATAGTATAATGGGCCCGAAACCCTAGTCTAATTGTTAAGGCCCCTATATTACATTATCCCACCGTTGGTGAACTGCTACCATGGTTTGGGGTGGCCGGGGTTCAAGTCGGTGAGGTTTATATACTTGCAAAGACGCAAGCTTTGGTTAGGGTTGGTGACATAAATCCTAGGGTTCCTTTAAACGGATCTGTAATGGTACCAAGCGTAGAGCTTGGTTCTCGGATTAGGATTCAGGATTTAGGGTTTATATTGGGCTTGTGGGGTTAAGGGGTAGAGCTGCGGGACGGGAACTACTTTCAGGTTCAGGACGGTCGTGGCCCCCGAGGTTGCTTTAGGGGTCGGAATAATCACCAATTCTATTTTCCAAAAGTTGGCCTTAATGCTTGCTGGTGTAGCGTTCCCCGGCAGTCGGCTATGCGTGTGGGACAACCAAACTGCCATGCATGAAGCTAGACCTCTCATGAAAGACTAAGTATTTGGCAATGCTTTTTCTTGGTGTTCGTTTTTTATTTACAAGCATATACCCCCAAACCAATTAGATTAAGGCCCCTTACCCAATAAGCCTAAACCCTAAACCCTAATGTCATATCAACCCAACTCTAAGACTCGAAGTCTTGCTGATTAGATGCGGCATGCCAACCTTGAGGTGATGCAGACAGGCCGTCAATTGCACAGCCTCTAAAGCTTAGTAGGGTTTAGGGTTTCGGGTTTAGGTATAGGCTGCGGACGAGAAACCCTATATAGCCCTAAACCCTTATGTCTTCAGCACCAAGCCTTCTACCCAGGCAACCCTGTCTCGGTGCGTCTGCACAACTGGACAGTCAACCCACATCCCTAAACTTTCGGCGCTCAACCCTAAACACTCAGCCACCACCCTAGTCCACCACCCTCTACGCAAAATCTCACGAGCCTATGTGCACGTTGTTGCTCAAGCAGTCGCCTCGCAAATCATTTGGTCTCTTTCTTGGCCCACTATAGATCTTCGAATCGTTCAGGCTTGAGGGTTTAGGGTTTCGGTGGGTGTGGGGCTCCACCCGCTAGAGGGATAATCGCTGGCACGTACCTATCAACAGCATTTTCAGAGGGTCCAGGGTTTTCTCTCCTTGGAGGCCTTCAGCTCATGGCCCCAATTTCCGCTATCCCGGCCCCACCCTAGACTCTGAACCCTTGCTACTTAGCACCCCTTGCCCCTTTTTGTCTGAAAAACCCCTGCTGCAAACGTAGAACTCGCCTCGGCCATGCCGCGGCCAGATTTGCTGAATCCATCGCCCGGGGATGCTTCTCCGCCGTGCATTACGTTCGAGTCGGGGGTTCGAGTTCCGCTTTTTGCTTATGATCACCAATTGACGTACCGCACCTCTGTAAGGACATATACACGGAAATCCCTAAACCCTATAAACCCTGATGCGCTTCAGCGGGGTTTCGGAGTATCTGCTTGTATCGCAATATATAGGAGAGCTTCACGAGTGGTATTAGTACTGGTTCAAGCGCCCGTATTAGGACCTACCAGGAGTTGAATTACAGTTTAGGGAATCTTTAGCATTTGGGATTGGAGGTTTTGGTGCAAAGTTCGACGAGGGACCCCCTTTAATTTAAAGCGTACCCTTCTTGACCCTACCTCTGGCCCTCTTAAAAGTGACCTTATTGCGAGGTCCTTTATCCCCAAGGATACTGGAATGTAGGGTGCCAAGGCACAGGATGTGGCCACTTTGGATGAGGGCCGTTCAAGCGAATCATCTTTACGATGTGGGTGGTTGTCAAAATTATGGTCCCTTTTGGGGAACCCTAAATATTAGGTGCCGTACTATATTAGGGACCCAAAAAGGGACGATAATTTTGACAGCCACCCATGTGCTTTTTTTGTTTTTTGTTTATGATTTTCTGGGCCTCGAGGTTGACCAGTGATGTGCAGGGTTTAGGGGTTTAGGGTTTAGGGGTTTAGGGTTTAGGTATAGGGTTTAGGTATAGGGCATTGAACAATTAGATTGGGGTTTCGGGAGTGTCCTGTATTGTATGACCATACAAGGGGACACGGCTACTAGTTATTCACACCTCATGGTGCAGTCCTTGCCGCTCATAATCCTAACCCTAAGGCTCTAAGGACTCGTATTTCAAGGGTTTTGGGCCTAAAGACCATAATATACGAGGCTTTTGAGCCATTTCGAGAATTACTCTGAACTCCGTGAGGCACCTGGACACCCTAAACTCAAGCATACTTAAAGGATCATGGGGCTTAGTAAGTAAGGTTATAAGTGCCTTAATTGGGGTTATAGGTATAGTTACCCTAATTATAACCCTAGGTACTAAGTCCCATGATCCTTTAAGTAAGCCAGGTAAATCCCAAGAAGAAAGCAGCGAGAGCCCCGAAGCCCCTAAGCCCTAAACCCAATCACAAAACCTTTGACCCTAGTTAAGGCCTACAAAAATCTAAGCCCTAAACCTAACCACAAAGACCCTAGTTAAGCCCCCCAAAAAATGTAGACACTAACCCGCACAACCCAAACCTCTGAAACCTATAGACCGAGGTTGTCCATGTTGGGCCTCCAAGCGTCTGCTTGGCGCCTCGTCCGGTCCGCAAGATTCCTTAAGGACGAAAAGAACCCTAGAAGGGCTTAGGGTTCATGTACCTTATGGGGATTCAGAGTATATTTGTGTAGGGGCCCCTACTTTTAAGGCTCGTTTGGTCCTTAAGGTGGTACCCGGAGACTCCAATACCGCATAACAAATAGGAATATACCTCAGAGATCTCGTTGTTTCAGGGTCTGTCGTTTAAGCCAATACTGTTCCTTAGGGTTCCTCTTATAGTTATGGTCAACCCACCCCAAATCCCAAGTTTAGTAAGCAAGTGCCCAATATTCGGCTTCAGGCCTGCATGCATACGCTCGGCGAGCTCAATTATCAGCTTTATCATAGACCTGATAGGTATCCGACAGACATGTAGGTAGGGTTTCCGGTAGCGAGTTTCTGCATCTACAGGTTTGGGCTTTTATGGTCAGCTTCCTCGCGTCTAGGGTTATAGGATTTAGGATCTACAGTAAACCCCATAAAGTTGGAAACCGGATTCAGGCCAAGTAGTGATGGGACTCCGTATACATTTTAAGGATTGAAGCTAAGGGGTTTCCAACTTTTCGGCTTCTACTGTATAGGATTTAGGGTCTACCCATAGGCCCCATAGTAGTTCCTTTCTGGGATTCATATTTGGAATCCTACAAGGTAATCCCAGGAAGGACTACTATGGAGCCTATGTGTCAACCCTTAAACCCTAAACCCTCTACCTTCTTGAGGACTTATCTCACGAAATCATAATGGGGAACCCAAAAAGGAAGGTTTTATAGGGTCCAGGTAGGACAGTCTAAGGTTTAAAGTTTTGGCAGCCGAGGATGATGCCGATACGGATGCCGACCATCCGTTGCCATCCGACGCGGATCGCCGCAAGGACGGGTTCCTTTAAGGGCTTAGGGTTTAGGGTACTAGTAGGGTTTAGGGTTTAGGGAGGGTTCCTTTATGCGTTCCATTTTGGGATTCTTGGAAGGGGTCTGTTGAGGTTTAGGGCTACAGCACGCTCAGAGACTCCCTCTAAATCCTTCAAGGAACGTAGCTTCAATTGCGTGAGTCTCCCCAGGTTCCTCAGCATATAGTAAGCTTTTACCTTTTTGGGTTCACAAGCAACAACCATATGCCAGGAGAAAGGGTGCCCCTAATGTTGAGCCGTTAGCTGGACGCTGGGAATCTTTTGATGCTTTGGAAACGGTCGTCTACTACAGTAGAAGGCCAAAAGTTGGAGACCCTAAAGCCTCAATTCGTAAGAGTAATGTATAGAGAATCCCAGCTCTATTTGGCCTTAGTCCAGTTTCCAACTTTAGAGGTTTACTGTAAGGGGTTTTGAGGCTTGAGGTCATCGGCCTGGTTTAGCTGTTGCCAGGTTGCTTGAAGGTTCGGTGGGCGTGGCAAGTAGTTCTCAAGTCCAACGATCCTTGGAGGAGGACGTGACCCAAAGTAGCCGGAGAAAACATTTCCAACTAGCTCAAGGGCAACTCCTCAAGACTTAAGAGCATTCCTTAGTTAAGGTGTGCGCTCGCCTGCTATAGACACTGCAACTGCTAGGATCCCTGTTGAAGAGGCCTTTCCAAACTGACTACTCAGAAACTCCTCAGTTGCAAGGATTTAGGGTTCAGGGAAGTTAGGGATGAAGCTTTAAGACGAGGCCGGTTACGCAACAGATCCACCCAAGTAAGATGTGGGAATCACAACACTGCAAGACAGAAATGCCCTTGGGAACCCCAAAGCAGGCCCCAACACATCCTACATCTTTTGGATCCAAACAGCCCGATGATAAGTCAAAAGGTTGAGCTCGAAAACTCTCCAGTGTCCTTGATGGACGGCAGCGAACTTCCCCGACCCAACAAACCTTAGATGCGTTGATACATCTCGAAATCCCGAATGCCTGGAAGCACTCAAACCCCCAGGCCCCGGATTTTGAAGCGACCCCCTGTCTGAAAGCCATACATCACTGCACGGTATCCAACTAGTAATATACGTTGGCCCTAGAGTACGTATTTGTGGACTACTTCAAGGTCAGGGTATATACTATTTGCGCACATGGACCCTCCGGGAAAGCCCAAAACCCCCCGAAACTCCTGGAACGCCTCTGCGAGGAGTTGGCCCAGAGCTTCAAAACTCACATGCAGGGCCTATCCATGGTGCCGGAACCCTAGAAACTTTCGAGCGTTTAGGAGTTAAGGGGTCGCGATGTTTAGGGTGATAGAGTTGGGGTTGTAGGGTTTGGGGTTTTAGGGTTTCCGGGTTTAGGGTTTTAGGGTTTAGGGATTGGCGTTGTTGAATTGTGGGGTTTTAGGGGTTCCTGTTTGGAGGCCCTGGTGCTACGGATTCTGCTCTTCACCGTTTCAGCTTGCACAGCATTGCTCACGATTTCTGGTCATTGCTTTGCTAGGCTGCTAGACCTGCACAGCATGTGCCATGCTCGGTGTCGCCCTAACGCACCCTCGTTGCTCAGAAACGACCCAAGTTCGTGATCCATGACGGTCGCCCAGCTCTTCCTAATCAATTTTTCAATCCCGGAAACGCAAGCCGAAAATCTCGATGCCCGAAACCCCAACCCCCATGAGCCCTAGACCCAGGTTCAACGAGCTGCTGAACCAGCACGAGTCTTCCCTTCAGGTTCCGGGCCTGCCTATCGTCTTCGTTGTAGTTAGTTGTTTGGTTATCCGAGTTTATGGTTAGGAACCCCATATTATCAGCCTGATTAACCAAACAATGAACTCCATTGGAGACTATAGGCAGCATGGGCCTTAGGGAAAATTTACACCTTGGGGTTTCAGGGTCAGGAGCTCAGCCCGTCTTTCTGAAGCCTCAGAAGCTGTGTGCTTCAAAACCTTCGCTTTTTCAGGACCGACACTCTGGATGTCCCATATATAAACTCCTCAGTACTAGACCACGGGGTCAGGGTTCTATAAGGGTTCTATCTATGAGGGATCTACTAGGAACTAAAGTTTCGACCCAATCTAGCAGGCCCGGTTTAGGGCACAACCCACTGATATAGGCTACGGTACTGTAGGAACAGAGTCGGGGTTTGGCCAGGCCCTAACTGCAAACGGTCAGTCGAAGAGTCACAGCAACGAGCAGGGGAATACCAGGCCACCTGAGTCGCAAAAGCGCATAGCCTCTGACAATAAAGTCTAAGCATTAACCCGAGTCGGCCAACCCAAAGCCATGGCTAAATATCTAAACCCTAAACCCTACTAAACCCTAACACAGCAAGAGCCTGAAACACTAGATCCAAAGTGACGGTCAACAAAGGCGGGTCCTCAACTCCAAAACCCTTACAGATAGAATGGTACCATAAACAATGGCACTCAGGTCCACTTTAGGGGCACCTTTAAACTAAGAAATCAGTTCCACGACTCACAGCAATACTTTGCAAACTCTCTCGACTGAGAAAGCCAAAATTCCCCATTCAAGAAGGCGCTTCGGGTTTAGGGTTTCGGGTTTTAAGGACCTGGCCTACTTACTATGCCGAAATTCCACAAAAATAGCCAGGAGCAACATTCGGGTCGGAATAGTTAATGATAGTATTCCCCAGGGTTTCTTATTATAAGTATACTATAATGCACCGGAGTGCTATTCTTCTTGCTAATGTCCCTATATGTATATATATATATATATATATACATATATATTTATGTATGTATGTATATATATATATATATATATTATCCCATTAAAACTGTTTCGGGATAGTTCCCGTATATTATCCTTAAACGTTTTGTAATGCCTGAAGAAACCCGTTAAGTTTGCTTCTTACTAAAATGCCCCTATAAAAGGACCCCCCAAGGGCCCTTTAATAGAGCCTTACTGGCCCTTAGTAGTGGGTATTTTGGGGTATATGAGAGTGTAGTTGGGCGGGTGTAGGCAATAACCCATTAAGTTTACTTCGGGATAATTCCCCTGTATTATCCCTAAACCCTAAACCTGAAACATACCCAATCAGAATTGCTTCCGGAGGTCACCTTCACCGGCTCCACTCCACTTTCAGCCTCCCGATCTCTCCTCAACTCATGGAGACTCCGACGCACGTGGCGTGTAGCGCGTAGGGGTTTAGGGGTTCAGGGGTTTAGGCTTTAGAGTTCAGGGTTGAGGGTTTAGGGTTCAGGGTTTAGGGGTTTAGAGTTTCGGGCTTAGGGCTAAGGGGTTTAGGGTTGTAAGTTTTGGGGGTTTTAGGTTACTATAGGGGCCTAGATTATTTCCAATGCTAGTCTGGGGTTCCTTAATTATGATTATAGTATAATATACAAAGTGTTAAGGCCTCTACAGTGTGTTTTAGTAGGGCTGCCAGAAGAGATGTTCAGTTATTCGGGTTTAGGGTTTTGTGCCGCTGGGTTGTTTCGCTTGAGTTGATGTTGCGAGAGGCTTAGTTGCAAGGTTGCAGATATCTGGGTGTAGGTCTTAAAGGTTTGAGGAGACTCGGGTCAATGGTGAACCCCTGAAAGTTGGAACACGGGTTTAGGATGATTAGTGCTAGGTGCATGAGGATAAGGATGTTCCAACTTTCTGGCTTCTACTGCACTATAGAGCCCTTAAAAAGTACCTATTCTATGTTGGGGTTCCCGAATATAACTATGGTATAATGGGCCCCAAAACCCTGTTCTAATTACTAGGCTGTTGGGAAATTGATTCTCCAGGAGCTAAGTTCGCAAGGTCGGGGAACGAGAGGAATGCAGGTCAGGGCTTTTGGAGCATTAATAATTGCCTATACTATTTTGGGGGTTCCTTATTACAAACACAATATAGTATGCCACACAACCCTATTCCAATTATTAAGGCCCCTATTTTAGGGTTTAAGTTCCCTACACCCTCAACCCCAAACCTCTCCATTCTAGTTCCCTGTTCGGGGTTACTTTATAGGATCCTGGATCATGGGACTTGGCAAGCTAAAATGAAAGTACCTTGATGGGGGTGGGGCCGGGGTGGGGTACTAGTAGCTGCGAGTATCCCTACCTGGTTTGGCGCCCTCAGTTACTAAATCCCATGATCCTTTAGGTATTGAGGTGCAGGCTCCACACTGCGGGCTCTTTTAGAGGGGGGCTTACAGCAGATGGGGGATGCAGCGTCGAACTCTAAACCCTAAACCGACAATCTTGCGTTTTTTGCCTAAACCCCTAAACGCCAAGCCCTTAAAGGAACACCCCTAAACCCTAAACCCCTAAACCGACAATCTTGCGTCTTTTGCCTTCTCTGAGACCAGGCTGTGGAACAGTACCGACCAAACTCTGAACTCTGAGCATATTGGCATTGAGCTTTAGGAGTGTGGGTAAGGAGTTCAATTACGGTTAGGGTTTAGGATTTAGTTTAAGGTTTGTACTTAAAGGATCATGGGACTTAGTAAGCAGGTTACAATTGGGGTTATCAGTCCCCTAAGTTTAAGTGAGGTTATCCTAATTATAACCTACATATAACCGAGTGTGGTCAAGGAGTTCAATTCTCCTTAGTAGCTGGGTGGATACACTTTTCACTTTTTGGGATAATATGACCCACTATAAAACTGAAAGAGTACAGTTTTGGGGGCCCATGAACTGAGCAACTGGGTATCGCATTGCTTGGACCGAAACACAAAGCATGTCGTAGCACTAACCCCCCTCAAGCCCTCAACCGAGACAAGAGGTTTCAGTGTTGGGTTAAGGGCTGCAGGGTACAATCCTAAACTGGTCCTGAACCTAAGAATTAACAATAACCAAACAAACCTAATCCCCAAAATCGATTCCCCCGACACGCCGAAGTTCAAAACCTGAAGCAGAATCCTGTATCCGCCTATGTTAACCGCCTATATAAACCCAAGACCCATAGGCTCAATAGTAGTTCCTTTTTGGGGTTCATATTTCCAATCCTATAAGGTAATCCCAACAAGTGACTACTATGGAGCCTCTGGGTACACCTGGCTGCACCCCTAAACCCCTAAACCCGGAATGGGAGTTTCGGAAAATTGGAGGTACCTTATGTGGGGTCCTTATAATAAGGATCCTACGACTTAGGGGGTACTATATTAGGCTCCCCGATTTTTGGAGACTTCCAAATAACCTACCTTGTGAAGGACTTCTATAAGGAAATCATAGCAGGGAGCGCCTAAAAAGAAATCTTTTACAGGGTCCAGGTAGGGCTCAGGGTCCTGATCCACTCTTCCATGTAGCCCCTAAACCCCTAAAGCCCTAAGCCCGGATTCGCAAGGAAGCCCCTAAACCCTAAAACCCTAAACCCCTAAAACCCCTAAACCTCTAAACCCTAAACCCTAAACCCCTAAAACCCCTAAACCCTAAACACCCGGATTCGCAAGGAAGCACGAGTCGAGGGCCACGGTGAAGCCCGACGCCAAGCTTTGCGCCAGCCACAGCCTGGGCCTGGAGGCACCAAGATCTTCAGGGCTTTGGGCTTTGGGCTTTGGGGTTTAGGGTTTTCAGGGCTTTGGGTTTAGGGTTTAGGGTTTTTTGGGTTTGGGGTTTAGGGTTAAGGATCTTCAGGGCTTTGGGCTTTGGGGTCTAGTATAGGGTTTAGGGCATTTAGGGTTCAGGGTTTAGGGCTTTGGGTTTAGGTTTAAAGGGAACTCCAGAAAGTTGGAATATGGATTAATGGTAGGATCCCCTATAATTTACCTTAAAGGGGTTACGATAATGATATTCCAACTTTCTGGCTTCTACTGTATAGTTTAGGGTTTTAGGGCTTGGGGTGGAGGGCTTACCTGTGACTCCAAACCCTACTAAATAGTAGGTTAAGACCCCAAAATTACAGGGTCTGACCCTTAAAACGGTAGGTTTTTGGATTCCCAGGTAGGGTTTGGGGTCTAGGGCTTCAGGCCCTGGGTTGGCCTAGGCCCCCCAAGGACCCTTGAATATACTCCAAATACCCACTATTAAGGACCATAAGGGCTCCATTAAAGGGTGCTTGGGGGGTCTAGGTTTTAGGGCTTATAGGGTTCAGGAAGTAGAGTTTTATGATTTATGATATATACTTGAGGGACATGGGCAACAGGGCTCTGGGATAATTGGTGGTTGTCAAAACGATGGTCCCTGTTTGGGTCCTTAAGAGAATACGGCACCTAATATTTAAGGTACCGCCAACAAGGGGCCCTAATTTCGACAACCGCCCATACTGCGCTATAGTTTACGGTCTAGTGTTCAGCAAGTAGGGTTTCGGGTTTGAGATTCTCTGGAATGTGGGTCTATGTTGAGTTTGCAGTCATTGGATTATGTGATATACTGTGGTTCGGAGTTGGGTTACGATGGCTTGGAGGCTGTCGCGATTTCGATTTTCGGTTTGAGGGTTCAGTGGATTGGATTGCGGTTTGCGTTCTTGGGGCTGGCTTGTCGGATATGTGGTTCCGGCGTTGTGTGTGGTTTCTTGTAATGGGGGAGTCTGAGTCAATAGCAACAGCACTTCTGCTTTGTCCCTACATGGCTAGAGTAGAACAGGCCCTGTAAAGTACAGAAAGCCCAGCAAACTGCAGGTTCTCTTACCGTTGGTTAGTAGGGAATGGAGGAATGGGGTACAACTATAACTACTATTACGACCATTCTTCCATTCCCTACTAGCCCTAAACCCTAAACCCTAAACCCCAAACAGCAGGTTCTGCCGGTGGCTGAGAAGGTTCGAAGGCCGAGCATGCGAATGAACAGCAGCTTTGCACTGCCTGGCGAGTACTTCAGCACGGCCGCCCCTTGGAAGCCCTATAGGGCCTAGGGATTAGGGTTTAGGGTTTGGGGTTCAGGGTTTAGGGATTAGGGTTTAGGGATAAGGGTTTCGGGTTTAGGGTTTAGGGTTTGTAAAGTTTCAGGAGGTTTCGGCAGTGGATATGTCTCTGCAGTTAGGAGTCTTGCGTTCCGCCGTAGCTGCTGTCGGGAGGCTGCTAAGGCCACCACAGCCTGAAATTCTAAGCCCCCCCCTTTTTCAATACGAAACGTTACATACAGGCTCCCTACATCCTAGGCCCTATTTAGGGTACTATATTCGGGTCCCCTATTTTCGGAATCTCCCATACATAGTACCATTATGGAATTAGGTCCCCAAAGCCATGATATGGATGGTCGTTTGGGACCTAATTCCTTAATTCCACAATGGCACTATGTATGGAGCCTCTGGGTTACTATAGAGGCCTTAACAGTTATCTGTATTTTTTTGAGGGGGTTCCTTATTACAGTTGTATTAAAAAGGGTAACCCAAAACCATGTTCCAAGTTGTTCATTCCTCTAGATTACTAAGCGTGCCAGACCAACACCTTGCTAGGCCCAACGTGTTAAACCTTGAGTTTTCCGCCCTCGACCATAAATCAAGGATCATGGGACTTAGGAACTAAAGGGCTATTATTACAGTAACTATACTGTATAGTTGTAGTTAGTTCTAATACGAAGCAAATCACTTATTCCCTGCGCTACAGAGTCCCATGATCCTTTAAGCAGGTGCCCTCGGTCCTAAACCAGAGAACACGACACCACGGAGTCGCTAACTTCGGTGTTGCGAATGGAGCCTTTGGATAATCAGGAAAGTGAACTTTCGGGCCTGGACTAAGGATGCCATGCGGTTTGATGTTTTTGTTTCTGTCGACAGGGGCGGCTAGGCTTGGCCTTGAAACCTAAACCCTAAACTCCTAAACCCAAAACCTTCAATCCCGGGCCCGTAAAGTACAAGCCAGAAAGTTGAAACCGGACATGCGCCAATCGCAAGGCCTGGACTGGAAGTGTAGGTAAAGGAGAACGATTCATTTGCAACTGTGTGGCGTGCATTGAAGGTATTCATTCCCTAGGCCCTAGACCGTAAGATCCTATTCTCACTAAACCCCCTTACGCTCTCCTCTCCTCACGCCCTTCTTGCTCGTAAACAGTAACCCTATGCCTCCAGGGACCTTATTGTTGGGTGCTTAACGGGTCCAGGGTCCTAACTATGAGGTCCCTGGAAGGATACTTGGAGGGGTAGGGGACTTAGTAAGTAGGTTATAAACAGATTCATAAGTAGCCTAAATGGAGCTACCCCAATTATAGCGGTACTTTTCAAACGACTTACTAAGTCCCCTGCCCCTCCAAGTAGGGTCACGCTTCCTGGCGAGGACACTACTATTTGCTGAAGAAACCCCCGAAAAATAAAAATAATAATCCCTATATTACCCCCATAAGGAATATATTTTTTATTTTTTGGGGGTTCTTAAGCAAATAGTAGGACAAGGAGCTGAACCACGAGACCCTGCAGATCATCGAGAAGCAGTGACCCGGGTTTAGGCTTTTCGGGTGGAGGCGGCCTTTAATCTGGAAGGGTCCAAGTCCTTAAGGACCAAATGAGCCTTAAAAGTAGGGGCCCTATGCAAATATACCATGAATCCCTATAAGGTATATGAGCCCTAAACCCTTAGAGGGTTTTTTCTCGTCCTTAAGGGCGGTCCGTTTTTGACTTTGGGGTATATAAGGTTCTGGATGCAGGGTTGAGCTTCCGGCATGTCTAAAGCGCACAGAGTCGAGCTTACTTGGAGGGGCAGGGGACTTAGTAAGTCGTTTACAATTAGGTGTTATAATTGGGGTAACTCCATTTAGGGTACTTATAACTCTACTTATAACCTACTTACTAAGTCCCCTGCCCCTCCAAGTAGGAGTACTTTGACCTGAGGGTCAAAGCGTCCCCGAAACTTCGCAGGACCTGGGCATCTTTCAGGGTGACCCTAGGTCTCATCCCAGACCCCCTTTTGGAGGATCCAAAAAGTAGATCGCTCAATGGGGGGTTTCTATAAAGTACCCTTAGTAGTATAGGGCCCCAAATTAGGGGATCTACCTTCTGGATCCTCCCGGTGTAGGTCGCTGCATGTGTGGTGTGCAAGGCATCGAGCACGTCACCTTCCTACTTGCATTTGGCAGGGCCTCTTCACCGCTTGTCCGTTCTTGCATCCAGAAGCCGCAGAAGCCTCCAGCATACTTAAAGGCTCATGGGACTTAGTAAATAAGTCTATAAGTAGGTTGTAATTAGGATAACCCTACTTAGGGGACTTATAACCGCAGTTATAACCTACTTACTAAGTCCCATGATCCTTTAAGTACCCTAAAGCCCCCAACCGATGACCCCAGCTTGAACACCGAACTTGATTATAAGGAAGCACGGTGCAACACACCTCATCTACAATCTGCTACATCAATAGAAACCCCTTCAGAAGCCTCAAAGAACCCTCTAAGTCATACAGAAGAGGACCCCGCGAGACTTCTGATTTCGATAGGCCCTAAACCCTCAGCCACACCAGCACCCCCCAAGTACCCTGCCTGCAATAGGGCAATAGGGGCCTGATGTTTGTAGATAATAGGTACTTTGGCTTTTGCAGGGGTGGTGCTGGTAAACCCCGGGCCCTGCCCGGAGGCCACAAAAAGGTACCCTAGGCCCTAAAGTTTCAGCGCTAGATTCGAAATCCTTACCTTAACCCCACGTGACCTACCTGTTTAGGGATTTATATAAAGAAATCATATTAGGGGGGCCCTAAAAAGGTAGGTTCCGTAGGGTCCAGGTAAACCCTCAACCCTAAAGGTACGAGCGCCTGGACTCTGAGAGCAACGGCAAAGTCCTCACCGGTGACCTGAAACGAGCACCCAAGCTGCCCTGTGTGGCTTCAGGTCTTTAGGCGTGGGGTTCATTGCCTCAGGGGTTTAGAACTAAGGGTTCAGGATTGAAATTGAAGGTTTATACTTAAAGGATCATGAGACTTATAGTAAGTAGGTTATAATTGGGGTTATAAGTCCCTTAAGTGGGGTTATCCTAATTATAACCTACCTATAACCTTACTTACTAAGTCCCATGAGCCTTTAAGTAGACCCTAAATCCTAAACCCCATAGATCCCTTTAAGGAGCCCTATAGATCCCTTTAAGGAGCCTGTAAGAACACTTACTAAGTCCCACGAGCCTTTAAGCAGGTTTTATGGCATTTCAGATCGAGGTTCGACATTGGGGCTTTAAGGTCTACCTTAACCCCACGGAGTTTCCGAAATTTAGGGGTACATTATTTTGGAGTCCTTAAAAATGGGAGGCCTACTGTTTAGGGTACTATATTAGGGTCCCCTATTTTCGGAAACGCACAAATGACCTACCTCTTTAAGGACTTATATAAAGAAATCATAGTAGGGAGCCCTGAAAAGGTAGGTTCCTTAGGGTCCAGGTAGGTCTCAGGGCTTAAGGTATGGGGTTTAGTTAGGGCAGGGCTTCAGGATTTAGGGTTTTAGGGTGCTGGGCAGAGGACTCTTAATTACACTAGGGCCGGGTTCTAGGGTTTAGGGGTAACTGGGCCGAAAGGTTAAGACCCTAAACCCTAAACCCTAAACCCTAAACCCTAAACCCTAAACCCTAAACCCTAAACCCTAAACCCTAAACCCTAAACCCTAAACCCTAAACCCTAAACCCCTAAACCGAGAGGCCATTTATGAAACAAGGAGCTTGCGCTTTTTGGGGCTCAGGGGCTCCTTGCTGGGTTCTGTGGAGGTCCTGCTGGGGTGGTATAGGGTTGACCTTAACCCGGAATGACCTACCCTTTGAAGGACTTATGTAAAGAAATCATAATTGAAACGCTTCGCGCCGCCCGCCTCGGCCCGGCTGCCATCCGAATGATACTGCACTGTACCCGGAATCTGTTAATGCAGGAATATAGGAATATAGGGTTCTTTGACAGGGGTCTCAAAGGGCTCCAAATCATACGAAGGGTCTTATAACCATGTAAGGTATATTTCTTAGTTACAGTTAATTATAGGGTTTTGCAGTTTCTTGGTACAAGCGCCGCACAGATCTTCGACAGCCCTCGCATATGCCAGGGCACCCCCGTGTGAGGTACCCCGTGTGAGGTATTCGCGGTTTGGGGCTGAGGGTTTAGGGCTTGGGGTCTAGAGTAGGGGCTTTTAGCGTGTTTTTGTAAGATGGTCTGAGGGGGGCAGGGGGCGGGGCGGGGGCGGGGCGGGGGCGGGGGGGGGGGGGGGGGGGGGGGGGGGTGGGCCACTTTTGGTCACTGTGGAGGGGATTAGAGGTGGGGAATAGAGGGAATCCGAATAGGAACCTCTGACCGCTTTGGCCGAGGCTATTCAGGGTTAAGATAGGCTTCAAGAGTTTAGGGTCGAAGCTCAGGCTGAAATGCTAGTGTACGTGAGGAACTTACTTTATAGTCTTCCAGATTAGGGTCCAACTCCCATGTGATGCCAACGGTAGAAGCTGAGGTCTGGGGGTTTCGGGACTGGGGTGTCCGGTTTAGGGTTTAAGGGCCTTGGGTTTAGGGGGTTAGGGTTTCGGGTCTGGGGTTTGGAGCTTAGGGTTTAGGGTGCCGGGCTTCGTGCCGACGGTGAGGGTTTACGATTGAAGGAGCAGAGTGCAGATTCCATTAGAGCTTACTAGCCCAAGGACTCCATGTGCCTATATAGTAGGTACTTAGGCCTTAAAGGGGTCCCTATATGGGTACTTTAGGGCGGGTACTTTAGGGCCTCAGCACCTACTATATGGGTACATGGAGTCTTTGGGTAGGTTCATCTAGCTTCCGTTGTCAATTGTAGGGTTTAGGAGTTATAGTTTGGCTAGGATCTCCAGTAGTACCCTCATTCCCTTTTTGTAGTCCTAGGTTCCTTATAAAGTTACCCAATACCAAAAAGAGAGGCCTTTTTATTCTTAGGTTACTGGGTATCCTAGTTGGGGTTTACAGAGATGGGAGTTTCCGAAAATAGGGGACCCCAATATGGTACCCTAAATAGTAGGATCCCTATTATAAGGACCCCAAAATAAGGTACCCCTAAATTTCGGAAACTCCCAGGTGGAGAGTGCTGAGTTTAGGTTGTGGGTTTTACTTCTTTGCTTACTCGCTTCATTCCTTGCAACCCGTTGGCCTGAAACCTACCTTAACCCGGAATAGCCTACCATTTTCAGGATTTATATCAAGAAATCATAATAAGGAACCCTAAAAGGTAGGTTACTCAGGGTTAAGGTAAGCCACAAGATGTATTGGAAGATTCCTATCGTGTTCGCCCCATGCTTTCTTCTGGGAAATGGGGCGCGTTTGTTTACGGTTTCAGCCATGGTTGAGGATGTGCCGGGCTTTGGAATTCAGGCAAAAGGAGCAACGGGCTGGCGTGCAGGTTATTTGCGAGCTGTTCCGGGATGGAAAGGCGATCTCAGTAGGTCCTTTGAATCGGACTAAACCTTAATTCCTAAGGTCCTAAACCCTAGACCCCAAACCAGGAAACCTAAACCCCAAACCCAAAGGTAGGCCTGTAAGTCTTAAGCCAAACATGGAATCTTAGTGAGCTGGCGAGGTGGTGAACACTTATGCTGGTGGCTGGGAGATTGAAGACATGCTTCTTGCCTTCTCTTAGGATTTAGCGTTTAGGGTTCTTGCCTTCGCTCGGGGTTTAGGGTTTGTCGTTCTTGCCTTCTCTTAGGGTTTATGGTTTATGCTTCTGAGTGTCATGGAGCCAGTGACATGACAGCTCTTTCACATGGTCTAACCGTGAGTCCACACTTGGAGGTGCCTAAACAACTCGCAAGTTCCACACGTGTGTGCGTGCCTGCTTGTGCTGGGTTATTGCGTGCCTGGTTGTGGCACGTGTTGGTGCGACACTTGCTGCAAGATTGTGACATCGCAGCTTGCAAGTAGAGGAAGTATAGTGCCTTATGAGCATAGTCCCCGCCCTACGCCCCGTTCGGGTTGCTGCAACACCTTGGGCCGAGGGCTACACGTAGCTACTGTAGGGCACTGTAGGGTAGAACCCACAGAGACTCAAAGGATATTTCCCGGCGTCACCGAAAGAAAAACAAGTGTGTATCGCTATGCATCTTCTGTGTTTGATCGTTGCTGCGCAGTCATGTTCAGTTTAGGCCACGTTAGTCATCCGGAGTGAATACCTGCTTTTAGCTAGATCTCCCAGCATGCCCTTTCTTCCAAGACTTCAAGGATTTAGGGGGTGGGGTTTTGCAGTGAGATATGGGTTTACGGTTAAGGCAATTTAAGGGTCAGGGCTTCAGGAATCTAGGGCTTGTTCAAGGAGGGGGTTATGGAGTATCCAAGCCCTAGCGTTTTGGTTTGCGTGCTTATCCGGGTCCGTAGTTGAGGCGTTGGGTTGTAAGGTTGAAGCTGGGGTTTTGGGCGGCTCAGGTGGTTTGGCAATGGGTTTCGGGTTGGGCTTTAGGGTTGGAGGGTGTAAGCTTTCAGTGTTTGAGTTTAGGACTTGGGGTTGTGGAGTTCAGGTGGGGCTTGGATTTTAGTTGGGAGAACCCACCTGCCGGTGCAACCTTGTCAGATCTGACCCTTGCCTGAAGCTGCCACAGCATGAGATTGAAAGGTCTTTGTAAGGTCCTTCCAAATTCTGTGATGGTGTAGGGTAAAAAAATGGGGTTTCGAAGCATTTGAAGTCGCATAGGATTCAGTTTATAGAATCCGCCAAAGGCCCCCTGATGAAGCCATCTAAAGCCCTGCGAAAAGACCCGTCGTGAAATCAACCTACGAATCTTCGAACAACTTTACAACAATGCCATGAAACCATTGTTAACTCAACCCCTATACAAGGCAGAATCCTGTAGAAACCCCAATAATCGAAAACCTCAAAAGCGTCACAAACTCTCATCAACTCACTCAAGCTCCACGAAAGCCTCAGAAGTAAAGCTTGACGGAACCCCCAAACCGCCCAAACCCCAAGACGCCAAGCCCCTTGACTCCAACCCCTAAGCCATTTACAGGTAAACCCTAAACCCTAAACCTGCAACCCTATATAATCATTCATTAAGCCCTAAACACTACGTATACAGCTTAAACCCAACCCCTTCTTAGGCTTGGTCTGCTCCGCGTCCTCAACGAAAGCACGCGGCCAGAGAAGAGCGTGAGCGCGAAGCACCTGGGATTCGCAAGGATTTAGGCTTAGGGATAAGGTTAGGGTTTAGGGGTTAGGGGCAAATTTGGTTGGGGTTTCGGGTTTAGGGTTTAGGAGGGTTTAGGGTATAGGGGTAGATTTCCCGAGGGGTTCCTCAGCATGCTTGTACTTATCATATGATATACACCCCAACCTTACTATACAGGCCTCTATATTCAAGCCCTACCCGAATCATTCAAAGTGCAAGTTTGTAGGCCGATGCAGATCCCTAGTATGTTGGTGAATGTATTGTTATTGGGACGGGGTTGCAGACGGTTGCAGATATCTCTAAAACTCGACGCTCCCACCCTGTGCCACTCTGTTTACGGCGCACCCGGATCCTGCATCCCAGCGCTTTCAAGACCCTAAGCCCTAGCCGCTAAACCCTCGCAGAAGAAATAGCTTTTGTTGCTACTTATAACGTACTTGCTGCCCCCCATATAATCCTTCCAAGATTCACTTCCAAGGAAGGACACTAGGGTTGAGGGCCCAGGGTTCTATAGGGAACTCCAGAAAGTTGGAATATGGAATAATGGTAGGATCCCCTATAATTTACCTTAAAGGGGTTACGATAATGATATTCCAACTTTCTGGCTTCTACTGTATATGGTTGGTTGGTTGGTTGGTTGGTTGGTTTGTCGCAAGTCCAGCATCATGGGGTTCTCATGAGACCTCCCGAAAATAGGGGTACCTTATTTTGGGGTTCTTATAATAAGGATCCTACTATTTACGGTAATATATTAAGGTCCCCTATTTTCGGAAACTCCCAGATCCTTGAACTAAGGAATACACATCCTAAGCTGCATCAGAACATGGCTTAAGGAATATTGACTATGCTCGCTTAAGGGGCTTTGGCATCCTTGGGAATGGTTCATAAGTCCCAATCCCTCAGCAGGCGGCCCGATAGATACCCTTTTTCGCGTTAGGCCTTCGGTTTTCGGGTTTAGGGGGTATAGAGAAGTTTCCTCCGTGTCACGGCCAGAATGAAACTCCCCTTTGCATGTATGAAGTTCGGGCTCATACTAGTCCCGAAGGCTCCATGTACCCATATAGTATATACTTAGGCCTTAAAGTACCTATCCCCTTTCAGGCTTAAGTATCTACTACAAGGGTACATGGAGCCTTTGGGAGTGGGCGGGGTCTAGTCGCTTGGGAAGTGTGTAAGGAGATACTGGCTGTAGTATAACCCATACCCAGAGACTCCAATATCCCTTGATTAAGGGATATACCTTAAACTATAATAGGATCCCCAATATGATTTAAGGAATATACCTAAAATCATAATAGTATCCCTAATATGATTTCAGGAATAGTCCTTAACCAACGAATATACCTTAAATTACAGTAGGATCCCTAATATGGTCTAAGGGATATTCCTTAATTAAAGGGATATTGGAGTCTCTGGGTAACCCTCTCCCCCGTAAACCCGGAGGATGATTAGCGAGTGTATCTTCGGGATTCTCTGGGTAGGCCTTTGGGACATTTTATATTTTCCCATATTGGGCTTAATAGGACCCTATGTACGAATATTTTTCAGAGGCTTTAAGGGGCCAACCTAGTTCTTTGTGGCGCCATCAGATGCATGGCTCTGCTCAGGCTCAAGAAGTTTCGCAACCAGGCTGCGTGGCAAAAATTGGGCTTAGGGATTAGTGTTTACAGTACCTAAACCCTAAACCCTAAACCCTAAACCCCTAAACCCTAAACCACACCGTGAAGCCTAAACTCAAAGGCCTCATCCCGAAATCCTAGACCGAAGGCCTAGACCGCCTTACATCCTATGCCATCGCCCTAAATCGCACGTCCTTTTGAAACCGAGCTTGCCCTAGACTCCTGCAGGCCGCAACCCGAGGATTTAAGAGAGTCGCGGTGGTCCTTGGGATTCCTGTACTAGACGTGTATTATGCTTATCTTAAAAGTTGCATTGAGATTTTACTAGTTATAGTTGTACTATAACCAACCTCAAAAACATACCGAAACCCTGCTCTAGTTATTAAGATCCCTAAACCCTACCCCGACCCGTATAGTATCCCGTATAGACTTCTTTACAAAAGGAATATTTCAAGCATCGCTATTCTCGTTGTTCAGGCCCCTCTGTTGGACCCCTGCTGTCAGGATCATGGCACTTAGTAAGTCGGACCTTGGGTACCTTAATTGGGTCTACAAGTAAGTATGAATATAGTTGCCGAACAAGAACACCAGTTACTAAGGCCCATGATCCTTGAAGTGCCCTCCTTCATCTGAACATGGCTTCCAAGGCAGAAGCGACGACTGGTTGTTCCACTGTTTGCATACACGTATGTATACCTGTGTGTATGTATGTATGTATGTATATATATATATATATATATATATTTGTACATATGTATGTATATCATATATATATATATATATGTGTATATATGTATGTATGTATGTATGTATATATAATGTATGTATGTATGTATGTATGTACGTATGTATGTATGTATATATATATATATATATATATATATATGTAGTTGTGTTTAGGGTGGGGTTTATACAGAATGTTTGTTGCTTCTTGGAAACCTGAGCCCTAATCTGTAAACCCGACACCCAGGCTCCAGATCCCAATTGACATTTCAGGTCGAAGACAACGTCGAAATTGACTTCGACTCCTTCAAGGCAAGCGTTGCTGAGGTTGTTTTCCTAAATTTTCCTCAGGTCTCATAATAAAATTGTTTAGGGTTCGGATTCATTGTCCCTGTTGGTTGGATGTGAAGGGTTCATCAGGTTTTATCTTGGCTTCCGGCTTCTGTATTGGGGTCATTGGGTTCACATGGGTTCATGGGCATTATCAAGGCCTTTGGATATAGCAGTGGACGGCGCCGGGCTTTTATCCTACATCCTGAATGCCTAAGCCCAAATCCTGAGCCCCAAAACCGAACTGCAGCTAGGATAATAGTGCGTTCAGGATCATGAACTTCGTGACACTGACACACCCGCTAGCTCAAAACCGGAATCCCCGAAAGCCACAGCTCATGCCAGGCGCTGGTGAGTGACGACTCACTGCTTGGAGGCCAGCTCAGCCGCACCAGATGGTCAGCATTTCACTCGTCGCCGTACCGTGGACCCTCAACTAATCTCCATTATACCCCAAATACCCACTATTAAGGACCATAAGGGCTCTTTTATTGTTTACAGCGCAGTGATGGTAGAACTCCCCAGCGCCCCAAAAAGCTCAACGCCGCCCGCAGACAAGTACAACCTCACGGTGCATCGCGATGTGAAGATCCTGCGAGAAGCACTGAAGGCGGGTCTGGAGATGGGGGTTTCTTCTCTGTTTCTTTAGTGCCTTAATAGTTAGAGTAGGGTTTTGCTGTCTATTATACTATAGTTATAATAAGGATCCTACTATTCTTAGATAATGAACAGGGAAACTTTAAACTTTTTCGCGTTATATATTAGCTCTATCCTGGAAAGTTTGAACTGTTAGGGGCCCGGTTGTTCAAGCAGAGAGTCTTCACTGTTTTTTACCTGGACCTCAAATGGGAGTTTCCGAATACGTAATTAGGGGCACATTATTTATTTTGGAGTCCTTACAATAAGGGTCCTACTATTTAGGGTACTTTTTTAGGGTCCCCTATTTTCGGAAGCTCCCAAATAACCTGCCTTTTGAAGGACTTCATTAAGGAAATCATAATAGGGAACCTTCAAAAGGAAGGTTTTATAGGGTCCAGGTAGGGCTCAGGGTCCTGATCCACTCTTCCATGTAATAGGAAGAGCGGCATCGAACCTGCACCTGCGATCGCACATACATACTGGAAGTCTGTCGTACTATCGGGGGGCTGAATAAGTAGTACTCACTATTCAGGTTGATTCTAAGTACTACGTTAATGTTGCACGACAAACTCGACCATCTAGAGCTAGAATATTATGGGTCCTAAAGCCTATAAACCCTATCCCTTATCCTATGGGTGTTTCGGGTGGTAGAGCTTCAGGGCTTTGCGTTCTGGGATTTATTTAGGTGTGAAGTCTAAGGGTCTTCGGATTGATTGGGGGTACATAGACTTCGAGTTTTGGGTTTAGGCTGTGGTGGGGTGTCAGATGCAGGTTTAAGGTTACTTAAAGGAGCATGGGACTTAGTAAGTAGGTTATCACTGGGGTTATAAGTCCCCTAAATGGGGTTATCCTAATTACAACCTCCTTATAACCTTACTTATTAAGTCCCATGAGCCTTTAAGTAGGGTGTTTTCCACGATGTGGGAGTTGATTTGTTGCTTGTCGTCGACAGGCCGAGGAAAATCACAACCGCTACCTTGACGATGGCAATGCCGACAAGGCCCCCCGGGGCGTGTGTTCTGAAGTAATGAGGCGTCTCCTGTGTCTTTTTCATGAAGATGAGTCAACACAGCATCTCAGCTTGATCGTGGGCCGAGCAGGGCTTATCCAGTCTGGTGAAGCTTTCGGGGGTTCGGTTCGGGGTTTCGTTGCTCATAGTTGTTGGTACTGTGAGATCGAGAAGCTGTGTTTTTTTCAGGCAGCCTGAAAAGCGGCAACGCACAAGCGGCTTGTAAGCCTTCGCAACCTTGCTGCGGCTTTACAAGCATCTGCACAGACACCTTGTGTTAAAGACATCTGAACATTTACGATGCTTTGGAGTACGATACTTGAATCTGTTTTGGGGACCTGTTATCGAAAGGGAACCATTATGAAATAAACGTCTATATTTTTTCTCTCTGGTTACTTCAAAGCCAGGATTACTCACAGACAGCTTCCCTCATAAATAGTGCCGCCAGAAACGACTACTGGCTCCAACCTTGCTCTGATAAGACGCCTTAGGGTTTAGGGTTTAGGGAAACCCAATATCCGCGTGATGCACCATTTTATCATGCGTCCGGGCATCGGCATGATAAGCACGTGCACGAAGCCCGAAATCTACAATCCCCAAACTCGCCCCTAGTGCGGTGCTTATCAGGAAAGAACTGTGTTTCGTGTCCTGGCTTATCTTGACATTAACTTTCCCTAGTGGTCCAGGTACCGAACAGTTATATACACTCCGAAATAATGGTACCTAGTAGTTAACCTACATGGCTACTATGTGAAACCTAAGCACCTAATTCGTGGGTCCCTTTGGACCCTTAGATCTACAAAGCTGAACCTAAACCGCAAACCTTTAAAGGAACGCTTATAGATCCCTTGACCGAACCCTTATGAATCCCTTAAAGGAACCCTTAAAGATCTCCTAAAGGAACCGTTATAGATTCCTTACAGGAACCCTTTTAAATCTCTTAAAGGAATCCTTTACAGACCCCTTACAGGAGCCCTTCTTAATCTCTTAAAGGAACCTTTATAGATCCCTTAAAGGAATCCTTTTCATTCATTCGCTGCGGTTGAGTCGCTGTCGACGCTCGCCTAGCAAGTGAATTCTGGTGAAACGAGAAAAGACGACCTCAAGCCTAGGGGACCAAAGGAGCATCCCGCGGCAATCAGCCATTGTTTGGCTGGGCCGAGTCCTCTGGCGAGGTCTGCGCAACGGATTTGAAAGGTGTCGCCATGATGGGCAGCACCCTCAAGGCCTTGCGCGATAACAGAGCAGGCCTGCTCGATCCAAGTGCTGTATGCCTGCCCAAGTCGAAGGCTAGTGCTGGTGGGTGCAGTCGGGGAAAGGACGATTGGGGGAGGCTCTTGCAAATCGAAGCAAGGGCCTGCTTGGCTGGCCGGCAAATTGAACGATGGTAGCGGAGCCCAATCAGGCAAGACCTCGTGAGCAAATGCTCGCTTAGCGGCCTTGGGACGCGCGCCTTGACTCGTCTCCCCCAAAAGCTCAGGGTCCAGCAGGAGGCGGACGTTTTCAGCGGCAGCAGCCACCCAATCTTCTGTAGGGTGTGCATCAGCCCAGACTTGGACAGTATTACGTAAGACTTGTACGGGCTCTATGATCTCAGTCACAACCTCCCAAACCTCAGCTTCATCTGTCTCTGGCAGGGCATTAAGCGCTGCTAGGAGTGCATCCGAAACAGAAAGGTCCACTGCTGCACCGGGTGTGTTGCAGAAAGTGCCATCGACAGGTGCGGGGGGCATTTGTGGATGCACACATGCAACCTGTTCAGCACCAGCCTCGGAGGGAATGAATCCGCCCCAACCTGAAATGCAACGGGTGTTCATGATCAGGTGCCGCCGAAGGCGCCCCACAGTACCATAGGTGCGTCCGCATGCCAAGCAGACGGGAGATTGGCCAAGCAGGTATGCTCGTGATCGGTATCCGTGCATTCTAGCAGCGTGGCCCGCCCATGCCACGCGCGTGGGAAAGAGCCGTGCGCATGGAATGCAAACCTCAGGGAAGGCTGTCTGTGAAGCATTACCACACACAAAGCTGGGAGCTTGCTGCCGCAGGGCTCGGTAGAGCCCATCAAGAGAGGCTAAGACACGCTGTCTACAGTGCTCCAGTGCCTGGGCCCGGAGCATCAGCCCCTTGTAGCGGCCGGGTTGCCCGCAAACAAACGTGCTCCACTCTTCCCAATGCGTCAGGGGATGCCGCAGGTCACAAGTTTTGTGAGTCCACGAAAAGAGCCAGTCTATGGAGTCACGCAGTGAGGCCAGATATGCTACATCTGTCCGAATGGCAGCCCATAGCTCATCTGGTGCTGCTGTAAGCAGTAACCGGAGGTAGAGGAGCCGCTGAACATGCAGCGTGACTTGCGGCCCTGGGAGTCCTGTCAAGGCGAGAACCGTGCACGCTTGCCAGTGCTGGTCACTTTGTGCGGGAATACCGCAAATCGCCCTATACATGGACCAAAGGGCCCCGCTGAAGGCAGTGAGCTCTTGTCCGTTCAGCGGAGGCCACGAGCCGCTGCCGTAGAGCAGTTTAGGTAGGACCGATGATCTAAGAATGAAAGCGCGGCGACTGACAGGTACGGCCTTCGCCTTATAGACCTTGTGGCGACCTTCAGAAAAAGCTGCCCAGGCTTGCGCCGTCCGGTATTTGACTTCGGTCAAAAGGCTGCCACGAGCAGCCTGGAACACCCCCAGGTGTCTATATGTTGCCACAAGCGGCACATAGATGGGATCAGAGGCCTCTCGCAGCGCTTGCACCCGACCTTTGTGCCCAGAGGGACCGAAGAGGTGTCGCTTTGTGGACCTAGAACCCGGGCCTATAGCCTGTGCAAGAACCGCTGTCTTATTGGGGCCAAACGACATGCGGAATCCGAAGTTGGCAAAAGCGTCACAAAGGCTACCGACACTACATGCTATAGCGGAATCAAGTCTGGGGTTGGATCGCCCCACACGCATGGTGGCTGTATCATCAGCCCACACCAGGTCACCCACTGGTATGGTTGGACTGTTGTCGGGGCATTCCGTCAGGATTTTTTGTCCATCCCACGGTAGCTGCGGGACATAGGCAGCGGAATCGCCATCAAGGCCTTCCATGGTATCCCGCTCGGCTAAAACCCTACCAACCACCATCCCGAAAAGGATGTCAGCCCACGACGACCCCGGGCGAGTGCCCCGGGCAGTAAGGACTGCCTGGGTATCGTCACGTAGAAGGAACCATGATTTCTCTGACAGTTGTTGGGCGATGGCTTCCAGCCATCGGGATGCGCCTGCTCTCTGCAGACCTGTGCTCTCGCCCAAGTGGGTCTTGAGCGAAGCTACTTCATCCTCGGAGAGCCCTAAGCCTTTACAGACTTTGTCAAGAGATGTCAGGGCTTCATCGGCAGAAGTGGGGCGACTGGCAACGAGTTGGCGGATGACAGCGTAGAAGGCAGAGGCTATATCTGAGAACAGAACGAAACAGCTCTGCTTCCTGCGTAGACAGTGTCTCAGAAAGGCTCGCACCAGATGTGCTCCAAAGCATACAGATTGCCCTGGCTTGCCCCCAAGCTGAAGAGTGGGGGTTCCTCGAACATACAAGTCCCTGATAGCCGGACGGACGGCTTGATGTAAGATTTTGGCAAAGCAGGGCAGAAGGATGATTTGACGATACGATTCGCAGGCATCCATCGCACCTCGTCCCTTGTGGAACCAAACAGCCATTCCGCCTTTCATCCCCATAGGTTCTTGCCCCCTGAACATGAGCTTCATGAGTATCGGGAATAGGATCTCCGAACACAAAACTGCGAAATTTTTGAGAAGTTCGTTGGGGAGGCCATCCATGCCTGGGCCTTGCCACACTTGGCAGACAGCATCAACCGAACCAAATCTGCCTTGGTAGGCAACTCGCCCGTATGCTCTGGGACGGGCCAGTCATGAGGGCTTGAATCAAGGAGGGGGCCTAAGGCGGTAGGGGCCATCTCGGTGCCTGCTTCCATAGCAGCAAAGTACTCGCGCCAGCGCGTAAGCGCGGATGGCGCATCCGGACAGATTTCCCCATTCGCATCACGGACTTGTGGTAGAGGTTCTGGTGCATAGGCTTTTTTGCGTTTGTGCCTCAGTAGTCTATGCATGGCGTCGTGCACTTCGGAATTTGGCCCAGTCGCTAGCCGCTCGGCTAGGTCAGAGACGTAGGCAGCTCGATCCCGCTTGCACGCTAGACGCAGCTGTTTGCTGTGAATGCGGATATGGTACAGCTGGAGGATCCCTGTGATCATGGTACGATCCGCCCAGGTACCCGACCATAGGGTGGGGTCGTCCTTCTCAACGCGCGCCTTCCAGGCTGCAATGCAGAAGGCAAGAGTGCTCCATCGCCATTGCTGCTGAAGGCGTCCGAAGCTGCGCTTCAAGGTGGTGACCTTTTTCTGCAGCGCCCAGGTGGCCTCTTGCAGATATGCGTGATGGGGCTTAGTGGCCTTAGGAGGTACAAGTTGTGCCAATCCAGATTGGATGTGGTGTACGACCAAGGCTGCATGGGCATGCACAGACGTGTTCCAGGAGATTGGAGGTGTAGTCGTGAGTACACGCTGCACGTCCTGCTGCAGGGAAGGGTCGGTGAAGACAGTGACCGGGATACGTTGCCTCTGCTTGGGTCGGTGAGGACCTGGCATCTCCATTCTGACAGAGCAGCGGACAATGGTTGCTGTATGGTCGACCTGCTAAGTCCTTTGCCTTCTTTTATGTGGGTTGAAAACCAAGAACCCGGTAATGTCAGCCCATAAACATAATTGCCTGGCAACTCTTAAAAAACCCGGAAACCCCAGTCTACCCCAAGATCAGGCCTTGGTCGCATGGAGTGTGGCCGTTTCCACAATCGAAGTTAGCAGGCAGCTTCTATTAAGTGTGGGCATCATAAGATTCAGAAGGTTCCTTTGAGGCTAGATCATCGTATGATTGTGGGATTGCTATTGAAGCTACCACCGTCCTGCATATATCATGAGCTCATGTGCCCAGAGGCACCGATAGATG